CTCTCTTTGTCTACCTCATGGGCTGCTAGGGCCTCATACCTGTTTTGCCGCTCACCAGCATGGTTTTGGGGGGAAGAGAAATCACTACCCTTATCCGTGAGGTTAACACCTCTCCATCTGGTCCCAAGAATGCATTCTCCTTCCCTGCCACCTGGTGTCTGGTGTGACGCGAGGCCTAAGCTATTGCATTTTGTGCACCGGATTTGGGCTGCTTTATTTGGTGGGCATTTCTTCTTCCTCTCTTCCAGCAGTATCTCAGCTTTCTGGAGGGTGTTTGCCAGTCTGCAAGAGAGGGAAGATGGGCAAGTGTCCTCGTGCAGCTGGATTCTTCCTTGTACTTTATGAGATGCATCAAGCTTGGGACCTTCTGATACCACCACACTTCATGCTAATGCTATTCATCCAATTCAGGTGGGCAGCTGGCATGTAAGACCTTCTTAAGCTGGCCCCAGGACAGAGCTCCTTCAACAGGCTGCTCCCACAAGCAGTGACAGCTGTTACAGCTTTAAATCCCCCAGGGAAGCCTGATGCTCTGGGGATGCTTAGGGAGGTGGGTATTTGGGGGCCTGATGTGCATGTAAGGTGCTGCTGAGTTGTTCCCCAGCACAGTGATGCTTGTATTCCTATTCTCACTGGTACTTGGGAGCCAGGGAAGAGGAAGACATGCAGTGGTGTGCTTCTGTGCCCCATGTGTTCATGCTGTAGATGAGGCCTCGGGAGTGAAGCCACATCTCTCCTTCTCATGTTCACACCACAGATGTGGCCTCAGCACCATTTCCCCCACGCATTGCCAGCCTCTTATCTAAACGCTCACCTTTCTGAGTCCGTGTGGAGGTGGGGGTGAGTGCAGGTCCTGGCCCACTGGCTCGACCTTGCTGTCCTGTTGGGCCACACGTGCTCAGCCCACCCCTGTTCCTCTGCTCTCTTCCACGGATGAGCTTGCAGGGGCGAATCATGGTTTCAGGATTCCCTCTTATGCCACGTGGCAATCGGGGCAGAAGCCGTTTCCCATCAAGTCTAGGCTAGTAGAGTGGCTAGCAAGATGCGGCCACTGGAGGAGTCTTTTCCTCCCATTCTCTCTCTTGCTTTCAGCTATTTTTCACACCAGGAAACACAGAAGGGACTTGTCTCCCTCCTTCCTCCCATTCTCCTTTTCCTGGCTGATCTTCAGCTCTGGAAGTTGCTCTTCTGGGCAACTGGATTTCATGGGGCTGTGCTACTTTGCAGTGCTGTGCAGACTTTTCACTTGGCTCCCTATCTTTTTTGCTGTTGGACAAGCCTGAATCTCACAGTCCAAACATTTCCCAGTGGTGCGGTCACAGTACACGTGATAACTTTGTTTGAGAAACTTTCCAAACGTGGCTTCTGTGAGTGGGGGAGAACTGCTTTGTTGCCCGTTTTATTTATTTTTTAAATCAAAACATAGATATTTCCATCTCCGTTAGCTTTTCCTCTGATTTTATCTTGAATGCCTCAAATGCATTTTAACAACCTTTGCAGTAGCAGGATGTTGCCCATCTGCTTCACCTCTTGCAGGTTTGGGTGTTGTCTTGTGTCGTGTCAGGGGTGACTGTGTAGTTTTGCTAAGAGGTTAGACAGTGGATTTGCATGGGATGGCTTGGATAGGGATGATCCTGTTTCACGCAGGGGGTGGACTAGATCAGTGGTTCTCAAGCTTTTTTGCACCAGGACCCATTTGTAAACATTGATGGCCAGTCCCGACCAAGTGCATCTCACTCCTGACCCGCTTCCCCGTGCCCCCAAGCCCCAGCTCCACAGCATGTGGTAGGGCGTCCCAAGCAGGCTGCAACTCTGCCAGTCTGCAAGGGAAAAGCCCCGGTTTCCCACTTTTTTCACTTTTAAAGGAGAATCCATTTTAAAAGTTTCTTGATCTGTGTTTAAAGTTTGTTTGCAACCCTTTCATATGTTCTTGCCACCTGTGGATTGAGAAATGCTGGACCAGATGACCTCTGGAGGTCCCTTCCAGCCCAACTTTCCTAATTCTATGATTTTATGATTTCCTGGCTTCAGAAAAAAGCAGCCCTGTCTTTGGCAGAGAAACGTAACATTGAGGTTCATGTTCTGATAAGAATACTGCAACTCTCTCAGTATAAAACATATATTAATGGGGATAATGTTGCTAAAGAACAGAAATGGGTTGCCTGTTCACTGCCTTTTAAATCAAAAGCGATTCAAGACTCACAAGACACAGTGGCTCAAGTTAAGCACTTATTTTGCTGTGACTCTGGAAAGGTGGAGGAGGAGGGAGATGGTGCTTGGAAGAGTACCAGGCTCCAGGACTCTTGCTTGCTAGGCCTGCTTCTGACACCGATCCAGACAAGGTGCTCATGCCAGTCGTTTGGCACAGCTCAGTTGTGGATTTGCCATCCCCACCAGGGGTCTGATTTTCAGAGGATTAGTGCACCACAGCTCTTGTCAAAGTGAACTGGAGCTGTGAGTCAAAAGCTGAACCCTGGAAGCTCTCAACAGCGGCAGCAAGCTATTATATAGCAACGACTTTGATGAACCTTTTAACTTGGGAACAGCACTGCTGATTGCCAGTAAACATGCAAACATGGCTCTTTTATAGCTAGAGCAGCTGTCGAATCTCCCTCCTTGGGTTGGACAGACACTTGGCCCGGGTGGTTTAGTCACAGTTGATCCCACCCTGAGAAGGGTGCTGGACTAGATGACCTTGGGAGGTCCCTTCCAACCCGAATTTTACATGATCCTGTACTGTACTCCTGTAATGGGGAGTGCCCACACACCTCTGGAAAAAGTCAGACTCTCCATAGGTCTTTTCCCATCTGTAACATGGTTAGAAATATTCCCATTTCTGGCTTTGTGCGATGTTTGGGAAGCTATAGGTATTACCCAGGGGAACACAGCATGCACTGAATCGGTGACCCCAGTGCTGCAGGAAAGGAGAAAGCTCTCCACCTGGCTCAGTTGGCTTCTGGATGAGGCTGAGCCCCTTCTCCATCTGCTCCT